TTCTCAGAGTCGCTCCAGCCGCCGTTCAAAAGCCGCAATCTCTTGATTTGCGGCATGCCCAGAAATAGGCATTAATAATGATTAACTTTTCAGCTAGGTTATAAAAACATCTGTGTTTATAATAGCATCTGGTCTGAGTTCAGTCGGATCCTAAATAGTTTAATAGGCCTGGAGCCCACAAACAGCGTGCCCATGCCTTCAGCTCGCGGCAGCCTCTGCACGGAGTTCGGAGCTGGACGTCCCTCCAGAGCCGAGCACTGCTGCGTAAAGAAAGTGGCAAAATAAGCAGACTTATTTATTTTATTGTTTATTTTTATTATAATTATTTTTTAATTAACCTGAAGTATTCTGAGTAGTCTTTTTTTGTTTGTTTTTGTGCCTTTTGCCTATTTTTTTCTAATGCAAAACCCCTCCAGTGCTTGCTTGCTTTCCCACCATCCAGGTTTTCCTCGATGCGTACAGTCCACATCCTTTCCTTCTTTCGGAAGTGACTTCTCTCGCCCTGAACCCAGATTGCCTGGGCTGGGGCCAACCTCTCTCCTTCCCTTTGATATTTCAGCTGATCGTAAAGCTAATTTGATGATAATGTCAATGCAGAGGCCACCGCGGAGATGACATTACAATTGCGATGTCAAACCGAGGAGGGTGACAGTACCTGAATGTCAAAACAATGGTTAAAAAAATGTCAGTGGAAAGCTGCAAATATCATGTTATTATGTCAAGATAATGTCAAAGCTACGCCAGTCCTGTTTTATGAACACTCCACTTTGATGTCAAAATAAGGGTGCGGAGTTGTCAGCTCAAATTAATGAAGACAGTCTGAAGCAATGAGTTAAGGTGAAAGGGGAGTGTGGGAAAGGGAGAGGAAATAAAGAGTAAGCTAAAAAATATTGATCCAAAATAACCGTAAAATATGACTTAAAGGGGTTAACACTACTCTGCTTGACGTGTGACTGGGCTGGCTCAGCACCCTGGGGAGCAGGGTGACGTGTCTGAACCTGGTATGGGCATCTGATGCCCTGGTCCTGGGGAGGTGGGAGTCATGGGAAGGAGCCAAGGTACGTGGTGCGAAACTGGAGGGGAAGGGGGCTGGGGAGGGTGCTGGGGACATGGGGCAAGGCGGGGACCGGAGAGCACGGGCACATCTTAGGAAGATGCTCCCAGCCCTGCGCAGGACTGTGATACGGCGGGTTGGGGCTGGGAGAAATATTAGAGGCTCACATTTAAACCAGAGCCAAGAGTTCTGATGGAAGTGGAAAATCCTAAAGGGAACAGACTTTAAACCAGAAAAGGAATGCGTTAAAAATGTAATGCCTTTTCTTTTGAAGTAGTCTCTTGTTAAATTTCACTAGACATCCGTCGATCTTAGGAGCTGCATCCTGACTTCGCTTCCTTAATGCTACAAACTCCACAGGTCCTCTGCAAGCTGGGTGGAAGGAAGCGAATGTGTGTTTGCAAACGTGGGCACAAAGCAAGGTTCTGCTTGCTGAGGAAGCAAGCGCTAATGATCGTGCTTTAGACTAATTACTACCTACAAGGACTGCAGGGGTGGGAACTCATTAATTTTTTTGTTGGTGTTGGTCTTTGTGTCTCTTCCAGTGTTGGCAAGAATCACGCTTTTTGTTCTCATCTAGGTACTCCGAGCTGGGTAAGTTCCTCAGGGTTTTGTTTCGAGTTTCCTAATGATATCCAGGAAAAAACTAAAGTGAAATCAGAAGGGAAAAATATATCCTTCCCTCCTCTCCCCTGCAGAGCGGAGCTGGGAACGTGAACGAGACACAATGAGCTTCAACATGAGCGGCGGCGGCTTCCCTGGAGACTGGAAACTCGCATTACTGCTGCTGAGGACTGAAACATTGTCCCCAGCCCCAGAAAAGTGACCTAAAGCCACCAGTCCCTGGGAAAGAAACTATTTTGTGGGGTTATTGTTCCCGTGGGCTCTGTGGGTTTGCTACACGAGCTGACGCAGCCGCGTTGCACCCGCGCTGCTCCCTGCTCCTCCCGCCATAGGCTTGGTGTGTTTTGGGGGAACC